GCCACCATCGCTTGTGTTTTGGCAAACACTTGAGGTCAGACAGAGGCTTGGGAAAGCTTTCAGAGGAGCAGGCAAGCCCCAGGTGGGTCGAGATTGGAGCACCTGGCTCTGGGGAGCTGGAGGCAGGTTAACTGCAAGTGGAGCCTTCTGCTCATTTGGTTAGGTGTGCATTTCCCTCCCTCTAGTTGTCCTAAATTGGAAGTAGGGACAAATTAGGGAAGCTGTCAATTATTAAAAAAAAAGTGCAAGCCATCTGGACCCCCCCCCCCCCACCAGTACCAGGGTTATTTTTTGACTTCATGGATTGTTACTAGAGATAGCAGTTTGAACTCCTACTGGTCTGACTTATAGCAGGCTGGCTTCCTGGGATGGTCATTGTAGATAATGGGTTGGTTTTCTGAGCATGTCGCTGCTGACTGTGGTCAGAACTCTGTTGTTTTGTATAGTCTTGCCATTATCTGTATGTTCAGTCTCTTCCCCACATAGAGTTCAGTTAGGGATTTGGGGAGGTAATATTATCTTTTAAAGAGCTACTAACTTGACTTTAAATCAATTAAGAAAATTAGATTCCTTACAATAACAGAGTGTGCTGAGGGCAGTGGCAGAAATGACTTCCTCCCCCTCCCCCTGAGTTCTGCCCACACTTCGCAATTGGGGAGGACATGAACCTTGATTCTTGTAACCATGTCCTCCTGTAGGATGAAAGAGGATCTGGGAACTTCTGGATTGTTCTGGTTATTTTCTGTCTTTGTAAAGTTCATCATGTTTTAAACATGAAAATATGCAAAAATAATAACAAAAAAAATTTATCCTCAAGTTGACATTCTAGGTAAGTACACACACAATGTGGTTAGTAAGATTATTGTGTTGTTCATCATTAAGTTACAAGATTTATAAGGAAGGATAACTCATGATGGGTTACAAACTGATCTAGTAAAGCACTCAAGCTTAACTCTGAATGAAATTGTCATTTGACCCATCAAAGAGATAAGACCTGAGCAAGTGGGTAGGGAGTCCTCTATGAAGGCACAGGGTGGACATTCACATACCACTGCCTTGGGGAATGGGCCGTCTCCCATCCACTTATATCCATTTATTCAGAACCTGAAAATGTGGTTGATTGTCCCATTTTCACAGGGAAAAGATAAAAAGCTGTCAAATAAAAAATCAGCATGATTTGCAATTTTATTTGTAAATTAAGAACTGAAATATGGTTTATGACTTCTGATTTTTCAGCTGAATGTGTCTCCAAGCTTCAGAATCATTAGTAAACCCAGGACATGTTGTGAGAGACACTACTTTAATTAGGCTTTGGACTTCATATACCCTGAAATACACAGATACTGTGACAGCCTTGAATTAGCATAGAATTTCCTGTTTTGGCAACTCAAAACTGTTTACTCCTCTCTGGCTCTGTATCTTCTATAAGGAAAACAACATTTGCTGCCATATGTAAATGGAAAAGTATTTTTCAGAGCTTCTTTGGCCCAGGTCATGCAATAGTTTAATGAATAAAATGATTTCATCTTTGGATGTTGTGATCATTGAAATTAGTGTAAGTGGTCTCTGTGCCCATTAAAGGAGACATACATTATTTGTCATATTTGGCTGTCTCTGCGTAAAATGGTGCCAGGAACGAAAGAGCAGGAAATTGTAAGTTATGACAGAAGTATGCCAGGAGAGCTGGAGAAACTTAAGGTCTGCCTGGACTGAACTTTCAGTTAGCACAAACACAGTCTGTGATTTTTTAAAAAATTAATGCCCTTCACCTCCATTTTATAGAGCATAATTAATGTCCTTCACCTCACCATATTAATTTAAACTTGGAACCTGTGCTATCTCTCAGTATTTCAGGATAATATTTAATATCCTAGAAAAGTAAGCCACTCCACAGCAGGCCTTAAAAGGTAAATGTATACAATTATTAGGCTAGCCACCAATCATCATTAATTTTGTGAAACCTTCCCTCTGACACCATAAATTTCTCCTTCTCCCCCAATACCTTCTCTTTTGTTTCCAAATGTACTTGAGTCTACCTTTTCCTTTTAAAAGAACATGTGCTCATATAATCACATGCATCATCACATCATATCACTTGGGCTTGTTGCTTCTGCCAAGAAGATATGCCTGTATGTCTCTGTCCTTTGCTGAACACCTTAAACGAGGGACTTAATGTCTGCTGGCTACACTTCCTCCCACCCCGTGCCCTGCTCTACTGTCAGGCTTCCTTCCTCAGGCATGAAAATGGCACAAAGATCACTAGGGTCTTCTTTGAGGAGTCTTAACAGCCTGTCATCTGCAGGCCTTAGCCTGCTGGCCCAATGTGACACGTTTTTAAAGACTTCTTGATCTCTGCCCTCCCGACTTCCCTGACACCTGGGCTAGGCTGTATGACCTTCCTCTCTGTTGGCATTTCTTTCTATTCATAAATCTCTGGAGTTTTGTTCTTGCCAGATCCTATTTGAAGCTTACATAGAATAAATTGACCTACAGGGATAAAATAATTCAGTGACATCTTCTGTGGGGTTAGATCCAAAACAGAAGTCTTCATCTAAGAGCAACAGGTGGAGATGATGGCCGTGAGGGCTTGGGGTGGGTCAGCTCACTTGGAAGTCAAGCCTCCAAGACCTTGGAGAAAGAGAATGAGTCAGAAGTTCCTCAGTGAGCACTTCTTAGACAAGCCTAAGCAGCCTGGCCCTGTGATGTAGGATGGTGATTTGGGATATTTTGTTTTAGTCAAGAATGATGGGAATCAACAGAAACTGAAGTGGTCACTTGTAGCTATGCTAAGGCAGGGTCCACCATTGAACCATTGCTTGTGTTAGTTTAGTAAAGTCTATTGTCTCTGAGTCTCTAACTGAATGTTCCTGTCAATCAATGAGCAAACAAAGTAACAATTATTTACTATAACAACACAATGTTTTTTCAGAATTGCCTATGATAGCTGGAGACCCATTTTGGATCATATTCTGGCAATAATACCCACAGTCCTTTTCTAAGACATTTATTAACTAAACTTCAACAGGTGGTCTTTCTTCCAAGTCCATTTGTGCATAGCACAGCTCTGCCCTCAGGGTGCTTTTTTGTTAAAAACAGTTTAAAAGAATGAAATGGCAAGCCACTGAATGGGAAAAAATATTTGCAAAACTTTATCAGGTAAAAGATTGGCATCCAAAATGTACACAGAACTTTAAAACTCAACAATAAGAAAACAACCCGGGCTGAGGATGTGGCTCAAGCGGTAGTGCGCTCGCCTGGCATGCGTGTGACCTGGGTTCGATCCTCAGCACCACATACAAAGAAAGATGTTATTTCTGCCGAAAACTAAAAAATAAATAAATATTAAAAAAAAAAAAAGAAAACAACCCAATTAAAAGTGGACAAAAGACATGAACAGATACCTCACGACAGAAGGTAAACAAATGGTAAATAAATACATCAAAATATGCTCAGCATCATATATCATTAGTAATTTCAGATTAAAACAACCATGACACACTGCTACACATCTATTAGAATTGCTAAAATTCAAAATGAAGACAATAGCAAATGCTGGTGAAGATGTGGAGCCACAGGAACTCTCCTTATTGCTGAATGTAAAAAGGTACAGCCACTCTGAAAGACAATTTGGTAGTTCCTTACAAAGTTATAGGCTTCCCATGTGATCTAGCAGTAGCACACCTAGGTATTTATGAATTGAAAACTTATGCCCACATAAAAACCTGCACACAGACGTTTATAACAGCTTTATTCATAACTGCCAAAACTTGGAAGTAAGAACAATTAAGATGCCCTTCAATAGGGGAAAGGACAAATAAACCAGGGTACATCATATAACAGAGTATTATTCATTGTAAAAGAAAATGAGCTATCATTTCCCCAAAAGATATGGAAGTACCTGAAATGTGTTTACTCAGCTTTCTTTCCCTATAATAAAATACCTGAGGTAATGAAGTTATAAAGGGAAAAGGTTTATTTTGGCTCATAGTTTGGGAGGTTCTAGTCCATGATCAGGCAGACTTCAGACCTGTGGTGGATGCTGCATGCAATGGCAGGGAGCACTTCATGGAGCAACCTGCTCATCTCATGGCCAGGAACCAGGAGAAAGGGGCCAGGGTCCCACAGTCCCCTTCAATGAACTCCTCTAGTGACCTAAGGACCTCCGACTAGGCCTCACCTCCTGAAGAGTCCACTGCTTCACAGAAGCACTACGCTGGGGACTAACCCTTTAACAAGGGGCCTTTGGGGACATTCAGTATTCAAACTATAGAAGGTGCATAGTTTTAAGTGAAAGAAACCAATCTGAAAGGCCACACTGTCGGATTCCAACGATGTACCACCCAGGAAAGGGAAAAACTGTCAAGACTTTAAGCAAAGATCAGTAGCTGCTGGAGGCTTTGAGGAAGAGTGTGATGACTCAGTGAAGCACTGGGGATTTTTAGGGCAGTGAAACTTTTCTGTGTGATGCTATATTGGGGGGCACATGACAGTGGGCATTTCTCAAAACCCACAGAACTGCACAGCACAAAGGGTAAACCAAAAAGTCAACTGTGGACTTCAGTTGATAATCATGTATCAATATTGATTCAGTTTTTCTATAAACCTAAAACTGCTCCAGGTTTTTTAAAATCTTTGTATGAACTTTGTAAAACAAAAAATATCTATATTAACAGTGAAAATTCTTCATACATCCAGAGCTAATGTGTTCAGGCACAAAGACTAAGGTGTGGGAACACCACTGATCATGATGTTGGTCAAACACTGAACTTGACTGTCCAGAGTCAGTCAGCTAATGTTGTTAGATTCTTGTGGTCCAAGTGTGAAGCGCACATGACCAAGTTAAGCAATATTTTAGTAAACAGAAAACTACTTGATGGCAAATGATCAGGAAAACATTTCATAACTAACATAAAACAAGAGTGAGCAGGACCCTGGGCCACAGGGCTTGCCATTCAGAAATGGGAAGCAAGCATTTAAATATCCTTCTCCTTCCCTTCCAGGTCTTGCTATTGCCAGTGCCCTGATAGATATTTCACAGCAGAAGCCTTCAGATAATAAAGACAAGACTTCAGGGGTCCGAAATCGAAAACACCTCTCCACACGTCAAGGAACTTGTGTCTGAGAATGGAAACCACTCCTGTATATTCTACGCTGATTCCCTTCACAACTGGCTTCCGTTAAAGCTGTCCTTTGGCCTCAGGTTTTATGGAGGCCAATCTTTGTAGGATCCAGGGCCCAAGTGCAGTTCCCTCTAAGTGGGCAATGTCCCAAGTGGCCAAAGAATGTTCACAAGTTTTATAAAAGTAACAGTATTGGTGGTCACAGGTGATAAGGGTCAGTTTTTATGACTGTTAGGCTTATCATAGCTGATGTTAAATTACTCTGAAAAAAGATGTATATTGTTTCTTAATGCAGATGAAAAATATGTAATTCATATAAATCAACTGTTTATATCCCAAGACTTTAAAGAAAGACATTTTATAATGCCTGAATGATGAGAATTGTACAGTTTTTGCCTCAGAAGCAAACTTAGGTCACTTGTATATGAACAGGAAATGAACAAATCACAATGACTTTAAATGCTGTTTTATCTTGTAAATGTGAAAGCAAGTTTTTGATTTAGTAGCATGTAGGTAAGATATTTAAATATTTCACACGACCATATCATGTTCAAACTCAATTTGAGAACATAACAATTTTCCACCTACCTGGAATGCAGACCAGAATGAACCGTCTGGATGGGTATGTGCAACTTCACAGGAGGTTTATTAGAATTCTGAGTGTAGAGGACATTCCTGTCGTCCATGCCAACTGCCTAAGTCATTATCAGAGCTGATAGAGCATGGAAAAGCCTGTCCAGCAATCAATTTTTCCCCTCCTTCCAAAAACAGCCTCTGATACCACAATCTGAGGAGATTGAAATTTAGTGTGCAAGCTTCTGCTCCAGTATGGTAATTTTCTAATTGCTTAGGAATCATTGGATCAGACCTAAATGATCTATCTGCATTTTTATAAGAACGTGTCATTTTCTTTGGACCTTCCTCTTCTAGCTGCTAGAGTTTATTTATCATTTACAAATATTATGAAATGCATTTTGAGATGACACCCCCAAATCCTTTCTGCCAGCCATTTCACATAGCATATACAAAGAGAAGAGCATTGCTGGGCAGGCCTCAGCAGACTCCTGTTTCTAACATGAACACACCGGTGTCGTGGGAGTGAGTCTCCAGTTCAAAATTAAGTCCACTGTTGGCCACGCGCAGCACATTCTTAATGATTCAAGATTCTGAATTATGGCAGAAAGAAAAATTAAAATAAAACAGATTTCATTTTGGAACATAGAATCATTTGTGTCCTAATACTGACAACAGTTCATTAAGCTCTGTAGCATTAACAGATCCAATTTGGATTTGCAGTTTTTGACTTTGGGGTGACTACAGAATATATAAGAAAAATGACAGAAATATCCAAAGCTGCTGTATGCAATATAGTTTTGTTTAACAGGAAAGTCACTCAAATCTAATTGATGTTTAGTACTGTATATGTACTCTTCATGTTCTTTGGATTTCTGGAAGGTAATGACACTTTACAGTTAATGCCTAGTTAATTGCATGCCATGGATGTACAGTAGCGGAATACGACCCTATTGTGAAATTAAATGTCTATTTCAGATGCCATTTATACATAGCTTAATTTGATGAGGATTGAATGTAATATATAACAGGAATGATCATATAATATGTAGTTGCATCTTATAAAAGATTGCTAGGTTGCATCTAATCATGACTGTCATTATTTTGATAATTAGGCACTTATGAATTATAGTATCTATTCCTTATGTTGGCATGATAATTTCGCTATTTTCCATGCATTAAAAGTAATGCAAATTCTTAGACTAATTTTAGTAATTTTATCTATAGCCTGTGGGGGTTTTAGGGGCAAGGGGCTGGCTGGTTGATTTCACTTCCCTATGATATTTTCTCTCCCAAAAAAACAGTGGACTAAGTTTGTAAATGTCTCCTAAAACCAAAAAAAAAAAAAAAAAAAAAAATTATCAGCCTTTTTTTGGACCCTTTAAATGTTGATTTTTTTCATTTAAAAATAAATTGACAAAACTGGTGATTACAAAGCTATAATCATTTTAAAATAAAGCAGTTGCCCAATTTGTTTTGCTTGCTCACAATTGTCACTAAAGAAAGCTTACAGAATGAAAATACAAAAACATACAGACTTGTACATAAAATCTCTCTCAGCTCTATTTTTAGGAAGTCTAAGCAAATGGTATTACCATGAAAAAACTGTCAAGTTTCATCCACCTTGAGACCCATCTCTACAAACTTGAATTTTGGATAATTATGGGAGATGATGCAATACTAAAGTCATCCTGTACCTTTCTGGACCAAACATTGCTAACTCCAAGGCCAATCATGAAGGTATTCTCAATGTATCAAAGCTTTTCACAGGTAATAAAATTCTTTGCCCTCAGGTGAAATGGATCTAATAGACATCAAGGATCAAGAATAATCACTGATCTATGGCTTATTCTAGACCCCCAACCCCCACATCCCAAATACTCAAATTTGGATGTCTTCATTTAAAAAATATCAAACCACACATATGTTTTCTGAAAAGTTAGCACTTACATTGACTATTTCTCTTGAAAACTTACTTTGATGGAATTCTGAATATTTCAGTAAAGAAGGACTTTGAAACATTCTCTAGATTTTAGAATTTCTTATTCTGCCAAGCATGAAAATATTTGGTTAAATAGATGAAGTTTAAAAAAAAATTAACCTAGGGACACTTTGTGGACAACTGGAACATTTTTGTTAAAAAATAATCTGCTTGTGCTTAAGTTTGATTTAATACATTTTGGGAGAATTAAGATTCTCACAATTGCTTTAAACGAGTGAAAAGTTATCTTTAGTGAAACATAGAGGAGAAATCTAGATGATATATACTACAGTATTCTGCTTAATAGGAAAACTTCAAGTAAGACATCTTTAAATATGTAATCGATACTTGCTGTACTTCCCAATACTTCTTTTCTGTTGGTGTCAGTAAGATAGAGGTGACCGACTCTAGTCAATGCCATGGGGTCATCTAGAGAGAAGGCTGGTGGACAGCCTTGAAGTGTGTGGCACTGGGCAGGCTTTGAGTGTCCAGTCTTCCTACCTGTAGAGGGAGGTGATGGTGCCCACCTTTCAGAGCAGTTGTGACACCAGAAGACAACAAATTTGAGTCTCCCAGGCCAGCAGGCCCTCGATGCAGCCTGGCTGCTGTGAATCATGAGGCCCCTGGGACATTCTTCCCTGTGAATGGATTTATGGATCTTTCTATTAATTTTCATCCATCTTTTCACTGTAGGTGAAAGTTGGGTTTTTACAAAAAGACTTCCTGAAAATCCTATATTTCTAGGATAGAGATTCCTAAAAAAGACATTGATATGTAAGTCAATAGAACGTTGATTCTTCTAAGTCACTTGTAGCTGAACATTTTTTTTAAATGACAGTTTGATGACATTGGGACAAGGAACACCAGTTGTGGTCTTTCATGTACAAACTAGACAAGAAGGGGTCAGTCTTACATTGTGTTGCCATACATAAAATTATGATTTGGAAAGTATTTTATATTTTTTAGAAAAGTTCTAAAAAAAACAGAACTGATCATATGAACTAATTCAACTACTTACATTTTTTACAAAATTCACTTCCAAAACCCATTTGCTCTTTATTAGAGTGAGCTCAGAACTTACTTGATCATAAGAATCCCCTGTTTTGTGCAGATTCCCACATTGGGACTCAGAAGGACAGGGTGGCCCTGGGCTGGTACTTCACAAGCTCCTCAGTGACTCTTACCAATAGGCAAATCAGGGACACACTGCACTGGGCCAGAGAGCTTCCTGTTAGAGCTAGCATTAGGAGTTCTTTAAATAATGAAGTTGTCATTCCAATTCAAAATGCTTTAAATAATTTCCCAAGGAATACCAGCCATCTGGTTGGTGTTCATCAGTATTTTCATTTAACATTTTAGTTTTATCAAATTTTTTAAATTAAGAATTAGAATCACAGCTACTATCAGGATACATATACACAGGTGTGCATGCCAGTGTTAACAGATTGTGCAAAAGTTCAAATCCGCTTCAAAAAGCCAAAACTTAGGATAGACCATGTTATTAGTCTGGAAATAAAAACATCATCAGCTCTTCCAACGCCCACTGCCAAATTCAATTTTGCTTTTTGTTTTTGGTTTTTCCCCCCCTTTACTCTTCTAAGATCATATGGGAGGAAACCCCTTCCCGACTAAGACTTGGTTATAAAAATTGTGTTATTGAATTTCCACATTCAGAATACATTTTTCTGTCCGTCCATCCCCCATGCTCTTACCTAGGTCTGGGCCCACGGCCATATGCTTGTGTTTACAGAGATTGTTCTGACTTAAGTCAGCTTTCCAGTGCAGCCACAGCACAGCCGAGGAGTTTTCTCCAAGGTCTTTGCTAACCTTTGCATTTAGTCCCCATGTGGCCGTTGGGGTCCAGTCCTCCTAGGAATGGTGCTGCTCTGCTAGGCCTCAGACTGATACTGCTGGGAAAGAGCGAGTCAAGGAGGACCCAGACCCTCTTCTCTCCACCCACCACAGGAAGATCAAGCCCCTAGGATCCCTCTTGCACTCTTGGGCAGGCCATCTGCCAGGATCCTACCTCTGGCCTCACCCTGAGCTTGGCTCTGCCTCTGCTCTCAGAGATAGAGTGGGGGTTCCTCCTGTGAGACCTGTCATGCCTTCCAGGGGTCAGGCTGGGGAAGGGACTGGGATTAAAAGGCCCATCCAACCCAGAGAAAGATGCCCAGCCTGGCTGGAGTCTCCCAGGAACTTTAGAAAAGATAGAAGCTTTGGGACAGACCTGGATGAAGATGTGCCCAATGTGGGTAGAGCTGAGGGCCACATTCTGGAGCCCTTTCCTCAGCCACAGTGAGCAGTAGCCATTCTGAAGCCCCAGGACTCGCTCACTCTCCTCCTGATGGTGGACAAGTGGCTCAGTTGACATTAGGAAATTTTAGCTCGAAATTGATTTTCTCTGTCCTGAATAGGTTTCTCCTAGAAATGCCTGTAGCCGATGTGAAGGGCAGGCATTCTTACAGCTGCAACCCAGAGCCCTTTGGATGAACATACAATTCCTTCTGCCAGTTCTAAGTGCTTCCTCCCTTGTACCTGGCCTGGGCAGAGCAGGCAAGACATTGTTGACCCTCCGCTTCCCCAGCCCTGTTGTGGAAGCAGAAAGTGTAATATTTTGCTTTCCAAACATGAAGCTTACGTTACGATTTTGAATGAGCTTCTGTAAACTAACACCCTCCCCACCACCCTCAGGCGCACATTCTAACCTGCCTGTTCCCAGCCTTTTCTCTCCCTTTTGTTGATGTGATTCTCCTCATTCAAGGACTGGATGTGAACAAGAAACCAGATTCCTCAAAGATCATGGCAGAAACACTGTATTCAACTCACCAGCAAAAGGTTTCGGCAGAAGTAGTATTTTCACTCAGGCAACAGAGTTGTTGAAGCAAAGCATTAAATCAGCCATGTGCATGGTCAGTTGGGGGATGGATCCTCCTCCAGAAAACCCACCCAGGAATGAGCATAAGCAAGAAAACTCTTGTAATAGTTTCTATGTAATAGCCCCTGTGACCCAAAGATATTTAAAATCTTGTGCTTTCCAGTAAGGTAATG